ATTCGCCCAGTTCAAGAGGAGATTGTTGGAATGGAATCTGAACAATAAACTTACCATCTTCTCCCCTTTCCCTTTAAGTGGTTTTACAGAAGATGTCTTCACACTCCCGGTCTTCTCTCGAAATAACTGGTTCAGGATTAGGGGTAGAATCTATCTCCCAAAACTTCTCTAACTGAGATTGTATGTCAATCAGGGTCATGTTACATCGAACAGTACTTTTTTGTCTCATCAATGTGAGCGGACCTGACACCACCCATCCCATATGAGTTTTCTGAGGGGTTGGTTGACCTCTTCCCAACTTGAACTGACTCACACAAAACAAATTATAAAATACTTCTGCACCAAGAAGCATATCGATTTTTCCTGGATAGGCAAATCCAGAATTAGCCAATTTAATATTGGTTGGAATATCCAAATGTGGAATATGAAGCACCTGACTTGGGATCGAATCACTAATTGTAGGAACAATCAAACATGAAATTTTCCTTTGAAAGCCATTATAACAATATTTAAACATGACGGTGCCCTTATGCTTGATGTTGGTAACATCTTGATTTATACCAACAATCGAAATATTGACAGAATATTTTTGTAACCCCAATAGCCCAAAGAAATCTTTTGTGATGAGGTTAGACTGAGATCCGTTATCTAACAATGCCCTACAGCGATGGGAAATTCCATCTGAACCAAAAACCTCAAAAACAACCGTCGACAATAAGACCTCATTACTTCCAACACAAGAATCCAAGAAAAATGTTCTTACCTGTTCTGATGGTCCTGGTTTGGATTTCTCAGATCTAGTTTCGATTTGAGTATTGTTTTGATGAGTCGCTATTGATGAATTACTTACAGTATGTCTATACTCGACATCATGATGCAATAGCGAATGATGTTTAGCTCTACACTTTCTTCATGTACCTGCATTACACTCCTTACTTATATGATTGGCTTTTCTCAAACAGTTCAAACAAAGCCCTAATCTTTTAGCTTGATCAAATTTCGTATGTGATGTTAGTTTCAGAAAATCAGGGCAATTCGCGTTATATGTTTACTATTACAAAACCCGCAACATTGTCCTAATGTAACCAAAACTGTTTTATTAACTTTAGATTTCGTTTGGTATCTTGACTCATTGTTTTCATCTTTATATTTATTTCTTTCAATGTTTTGCAACATGTCTATCCTATTTTTCAGAAAATCTTTAAAACTACCTAACGATGGAACTTTTCCTTTTGGTTTTTGTTCCTCCCGAACCCGAAAGGTTATACAATCAAATTTGTCTATCATAAGATATATGATGAGTGGATCCCATGAATTAGTTTCAATGCCTAATTTTTCCAGCGAAAATAATGTTTTCGTTATAGTATCATGGGCTTACACTATTATCACCACCTACATCATGCCATTGTTTATTAGGCACACTTGCAACATCAAAATTGTTTGTGATTTTCCTAAAATCAGCCAGAATTTTTTTTTCCTCTCGCAGTGTTTTTATAAAACATATCTTCAAAATTCAATCTACATCATCATCATCATCATCAGTAACAAGTATATCTATCTCACTTTGGATTTGCTCGAATTCGTCAAGCAAACAAGAAACTCTTTCTAATCGTGAATCTAGTTCCACTATCGAATCATCATTATTTGAGTTTTGGTGTTGAGCAAAATCCTCCAGAAACTTAATGAAATTTTTTAATTTTCCCTTAACAATACCTCTTTTGCGATTAGGAACTTTCAATTGATTTTTTAACATGATTCACTAATTAAATTTAATCACCCAAATTGATGAACAGGAATATAAAAAACAGTAGAACAGTACAAATTGTTATCTCCGCCACTGTTTCACGAGGGCTATGCTTCACCAGGTATCGTATCCACACTCGATACCGCCTTCAATGACTCGACTCCACTCCAATGACTTCCACAGAGATGCACTACGTGTTTCAGTTCGTGCTTTTTACCGTCCAATTAATTCTCCACTCGAAATAGTTCAATACCAATCGACAGCAAACAATTGAATTTGAAAAGCTGATAAACTTTTCTCCAATGTATTTCAATCTCCTAATATATATCCGGCTGGACGGACCACTATGTTGAGGTTTATCCCCTTGAATTAGAACTCAATTATTCTAAACAAGAAAAACTCCAGTGTTTGCTG